CCAAACCCTACAAACCAAACATAGTAAAGATTCTAAATCCTTCCAATTCCAAATCTTCCCATTTCCAAATCCTTCCACGAAATCCAAATTCATCACAAACATCCATCAAACGAAACACATCCTTAGTGCATGTGCTTGATGGATATGTAGGAATGGAAATATGCAAGTGATGTATAAGCCTAAGACAATTCAAGCAAGTTTGACAAAACTTTTTGAATAGGATACATGCATGTATATATGTTTATGTGTATGTTTGTTTGAGCATGCTATATTTATAATTGTGTTCATAAATGTCATGCATGCTGTCAAGACTTTGTACAAAATGATGAACGTATAACATGTTATATTTATGTCTTGGATGTTATGCATATAAAATGGAAGAAATATGGTCATGTATGTAGGACTTCTACCGGGACGCAGTGGTGGACAACAAACAACCCAAATTACGAATGATAGTTGATACATGTATCAGAAGGGATATATCATAGATTGTATTAATTGATGATAGACAAGACGTGTTTTTGAAAGCACCTTGAGCTTGACTAGTTACAGGACAAAAAGATGGAGCCCCAGCCATGCCAAATGGGCACATGATATCTTAGATGTTTTTATGAGTCGCACGTAAGACAATATGTCACTTGCTTAAATAGGATACATGCATGTATGTATATGTTTCGAAGTACGATTACGATGTTTGTTTCAGCATGCTATATTGGAAGTTGTGTTTACAAATGTCATGTACGCATGTTAGACTTTGTACGAAATGATGAACGTATAAGCATGTTACGCTTATGTCTTGGATGTTATGCATGCAAAACACATTGCACTTTTTTTACAAAATGATGAAATGAGATGGAAGGAATATGGCCATGTGCGTGGGATCGAGAAGCCGGTGGTGGACAACTACCACAGATTGTGAATGATAGTCGATACCCAGGAAGTAAATCACACATTGTATTAATGGAGGGTAGTCAAGAAATGTGCTTGAAAGCACCTCTGAGTTTGACAAGTTATGAAGCTCCTACCATGCGAAGCAAACATATATTAGATGTTTTTATGAGTCGCACATAGGCATGATACATTCCTTATCATGATTGTTTATGAAAACTTGTACTTTATAATGTAGCATATGTTTTACATGTGTTATGGAAATCTTGACGTGTTTATGAACACTCTCACTATATGTTATTTATGAATGAAGCCATGATCTCACTAAGCGTAAAGTTAAATAATGGCGTGTATCTCAAGACGTAGCAAGGATTGAGAGCAGCAAAAGCAAAGGTACGATTTGAGGAGGTATGACTAGGTTGCTTCAACCTAGAATATGCAAATTAAGTTATGTGATATTGTATTGCTTTGAGTTGGACTTGTATCAATGTGGTTGGTTCGATGTTTTTGATTGTTGAAAATCTTTTGTTGCCATGTGAAGGATGTCCGTATACTTCAAGTATTATTGGTTGAATTTTTGGGTGCAACACAACCCCCCTCCCCCAAACCACAATGGCACAAGTCCTCATACAAAATTTGTTACCCTGGTCCTACATATACATGCACTCCTATACGAGGTCATGTCTCTGAAAATGCCTAAAGTTGCCATGTCTGGTCTCATATGTTCATCCCACGTCCTCAAAATGTCCCTCTTCATGCCCTCGGTTGTTACATTCTCAATGTACCGACATTTGCCTCCTTTGAACATGTCCAAACCACCATAGTCTTCCTTCACTCAATTTTTATGTGAAGTCTATTGGAAAGACCTCATTCGATATTTATCCACTATGGTTCGAGCACCGCAACTTCTAACTTCCCTTCTTGTGCCTTTTAACACCTACAACTCCACAAGTTCTGAATCATGGTTCCCCAAAGTGAAGATTCTGTTTCATGGTTCCCCGAAATAAGAGTAAAAGCAAAATTAGTTTTTGGTGCAATTTGTCCATACATAAATTAGTAAGATACAATGATCTTTTATGCAACCAAAAAGTTATTTAAATAAGAAATATTACTTTATCGGTTGATTAATACCTTTATAAGATAATAAAATCCCACGGTCCCAACAATATAAGCCTAGATTGCATGGACTTATGTTACAACCTATTACCTCCTTGATTGACATTAGCAAGTATAAAAGTAATAGAAATGTTTCCTTGACTTTGCTTTTCTCTTGACTCAAGATTACATAAGCCTTTCATACACTAGTCAGAGGACAAGTCATGAGATGTTATACTCTTGACAATGGTGTATATATCATTGAACCCATAAGATATTGAAAGTATTTCCCTTTGCTCTCTATTTTCATTAGCTCTTCCATTGTTGCAATTGAAAGGGCGGTTGCAAACATACTTGATGAGGTAAAAGAAACTTAAAGTTGAAGCAATACTGTGTGACCGTCTATTGCAACAAATCTCTTCGCTAACTCGTTCTAAATTGATGTAGTAGTAATAAAGAATCTCAAACAATTATAATGTTCATTGCAACATGGAAAATCCAACTTATTATCGATTGTCATTCACTCATTCCCATTGAGGTTTTGGAGAACTGCGAGGAGGTCCTAGATACATATTACAATCCCTATGTTGTTCTTGGCCAATATCGTTATCTGAATGAATGAATATGCAGAGAATACCCTATGTGCCTTCAAGTTTCTATAGCATTATAAATAAGTTTGGATGATCATTTATTATAATATTATCGAACATGGAGGGGACGGAATGCAGATTCAATCCATAGTTCCATACCCCATTTGACAAGTTTGGCTTGGGGTTTTGGGTATTTGATGACGAGGGATTTACTATGTTGCTCAACATCAAAGCTTAAAACAATTGAAACTAAGGTGTTGTTTGGTTCATCAGAATCCGACGGATTCTGAAGAAATTTGTATGGTCAGTTCCATTTGACCAAATTCAATTCATGTGTTTGGTTCATAAATTGAGTTTATTATGGAATTCCAATTCCACATATGGCATGACTTAAATTGCTTGGAATTTAGTGAGGAATTCCAACTCATTTCCATCTCATCTTTTAAGAAACACCATTCTGCACTTATATTTACTTTAGTTAATTCCATCCCACCACAATGTCACCACCATCCTCAACACTAGCACCGCCACCACCACCACCACCATCACTGTCTCTGCCACCACCACCACCACCATTGTCCCCACCACCATCGCCGCCACCATCGCCACCACCTCCACTACTACCACCACCACCAAGGTTGTCGTCGCCGCCACTGCTGTTGTCGTCGCCGCCACCACCATCATTGTTGTCGCCCTTGTCGTCATCGTCGCCATGAGCATCACCACCACTACAGCCAGCATCACCATCATCGTTGTCGCTCCCACCACCACCGGGTCATAGCTACCACCACCGATTAATAATATTATTATTATTATTATTTTTATCATTATATAGTACTAATGATATAAACAATAAAATATGAAAATGTCATAAAAGGGTGTTTTGGTTATTTACCATTATTTTAATAGAAATCCCGAATATATTCAGCGAACCAAACAGACAGATTCCAAATCTATTGACTGATTTCATTCCTAGTTCTGCCAACTAAACACAGGGTCAACCTAATTAAATTTCATTCCAATTCCTTAAAATCCAATTCATTTCCAAATACTAGCTTCTTCGATATGGAACAAAACTTCGTCATAGAGTTAGCCTTATGATGATCAAATTGGCATTCATTCTCAAGGAAAATCTTAGTAATCGAGTACGAAAACTCAAAACACTTCCTTGAAGACGAATATTTTATGGTTTAAAGATCTTGATGTCTATAGTGATCACATATTATGATCTTCTATTCCATTTCACTTCATTATGATGGAGATGGTTATTTGTGCTTAGTTTCTCAAAAGACTACGTGAGAAACTTGGTGTACTTAGAATTTCCCAAATACTTTGTAGAAATTTTTGAAGATAAAGATCAAGAACATAAAAATAAGGATGAATAAAACTAAAATCTTCAAAAGATAGCAATTAGAACCATCCCTCTTTATGTACTCATGGTATAAAAACAAAATTTTCCAAAGGAAATATTACCCTTTAGGTCCATTTGATCCATCATGAACTAATTAGTCTTCCAACATAACTAACTATTTGTACGAAACTATTTCACATCTTTAGTCTCTATTTCATTGGTTATACAAGTAATACCCTATGTTGTTATAGCGGTGAAAATACAAAATTGCGGTCAGGACCGATATTTGAAATAATGGTTATCGCGGTGGTATAGCGGTTCATATAATATTTCTTAGAATTATATATATATATATATATATATATATATGCATACATAAACATATGTATTAATTAAAAATATAGGTTCAACCTCGAAACATCAACCTAAACAAGTTTCACAAAACAAAATAGGAAAAGTTTTCATAAACGAGCTAATCACAAGCAATAGGTTCAGCATCCAAGTCAACATAGTTCTAAAGAGGCCAAAGCTAAAATATCAGAATATTGGTCCGCAATTTCACCTTAAATATAGCTCAAATATCGGTCAATTGCGCGGCAAATATTGGAAACGCAATGTTCACCGCAATTTGACCATCGCAATTTTACCGTAGTCCACAATCCGCTACTGCAAGGTAATAGCGACACAATTAACAGCATAGGTAATAACCTCATTTTTTGTAAGCTCCTAACTAATTTCCATCCCCGTTCCACATTCCAAATCCACTCAAGTAAAACCACTATCGAAACCAACATACAGTGGTTTTAACTTTTAATCAACAAACGCAGCTTTACCTTGAAAGAGCTACTCCCACCCTAAAAAGAACAAAGAAGAACCATCCTTCATAACAGGCTTAAATTACCAAACTTAAACACCTTCGCATGGTCAAAAGGGGAGATAATTATGCCAGAAGTCAAAGGAAGAATATCACAGAAAACAGAGTCCTATAACTACAGATGGATACAGCTAGGGAAATTAAGCCAGTTCCACATGTTTTACTGATGAGTGCTCAAAAACTTCCAAGACAGGTTTGACATGCAGATAAGGTCATTTACTGTTTAAAGTACCAATGGAAGCACAGCATAAGACATTAAAGTTCACAACTATCATGTTCTCCATGTGCAAAAAAGGAAGACCTCCATAAAAAACACAGCATCTGACCAGGATGATTATCATCTATTTACAAGGAAAACTGCAACGAAAGAGTCCTCGTCTGAATATCTCACAATTTACCATACTTCTCAATATATCCCTGCAAGCAAATGTACCAAACTGTCAAATGCCACATCATCTGATATTCTATATCCTAGGATTACCAATCAGCATACCGAGAGAACGCACCTCAACAAGTTTCACAATTTTTGGCTGAGATGAGGAAAGATAGATGTCTATAGACTCTTGCATACTTGGAATATGCTCTGCTGGTAAAGTGTTGATGACCTTGTCAACAGCCTTCTTAACAATCACTTTGTGGGCATCTTTGCTCAGTTTGCCATCACGCCATGTCGGCTTGACTAATTCTTTTACAAATTCTATTAGAGCAGCACGAAAATGTTTAAGGGCTTTAGATTCTCTAGTTCCCTCCCCTTCTATGTCAAAATCTTGACCACGATATCGGCTACTATCATCTCCTATTTTAATTTCTTTTGATGGCCCATCATTTTCTTGCACAAACTCGGGATTAACTTGTAGTTCACGTGATTGTATGGCATCCCCAACATGAGCATGAATCGGATGTTTTTTTCCTTTAGCTTCACGTTTTGTATTTTCCTGTTTGGTATCAACAGTACCCAACTCACGTGCATTACTGTTCACGTCCATAGCATTGTCATGGCCGTTTACATGACTGGCAAGAGATAATCTATCAGATCCATGATCCATTCCAAATTTCTCTTTTAGAGGTGCATTGACATCCATCAACGAATGTATGCTTGAGATGGATGGCGTTCGACTAGAAGAAGAAAATTTGGAGATCTTATCTCCATCCTTTGGCTGTTCAATGCTATCACGGATGGGATCATACTGGCTAGCTGGAGAATATATTCCTTGGGAAATAAGAAAAGATGACCGGAAAGGTTTTGATGGCTCCCAATCATACGAAGAAAATTTAGTTGTAAATCCAGCTGAGTGTGGGAGAACATCTTTGTCACGATATAAATGTTCTGATTCAGAACCAGAAAACGGAGTAACATTTGGTCGAAAGATCGGATGAAGTTCTCGATCACCACCCAAATGCTTCACGGTTCCAAAGGAATCAGAATTCCAAGATGAGGAACTTAACAACGTTGAAGTCCTAGGCCACATCGAACTATGGTTTGATGGGGAAATTCGAGAAGTCGACTGAAAAGAACTTGAGCCATAATTTGGGGAATAATTAGTGATAGGCACCTTCAGATTGTGAAACCTAAATTGATATTCTCTACCATCAAGTTCTTCCATACTTGTTGCATAAGAAGAAACCCAATTGCTTTTACGGATGTCTGAACCCGTGAACGGGTTACTTGAAGAAGTTTCATGCAGCAAACTATTTGCATTAACAGGAGGATGCTCTTTGTCCAAGTACTGATTCTCTCGCGAACCCCCTGTCTCCTTATCATCATCAACCAAGGAGATGTTTACAGGATCCTCTTTTTGTGACTCCTTGGGATTAATTTTATGCTTTGGGCTCTCTTTGGTATCCTGAAGCAAGATGGTTTCAGAAGAACATGTAGTAGTTGGCACAGCTACAGGAGTTGCCAGACCAGATCTTTCTACACCATCTCTTAAACCTGACATGGCAACAAGGACTTACAAAACTTAACAAGTCAAAAAAACCATGTGCTATTAACTCTTCCCAAGAAAATACAAATTACCTTCATCATCCTGAGGTTCACTTTTCTGATATGCAGCTACAGAGTTCTCCTTTTGTTGGTCATTGGCATTCATAGATTCTTTTATATGACGAAACCGACAAGAGTTTCCCTTAATGCACCAACCCTTTGCAAAAAAGTTGCATATAAGAGCCGGTCTTTTGTTTCCTTCATTAATTTCCACCGCAGGTGACGAACTTCTAGGTCTTATCAGAGGAGCTTCCAATCTGGAAAACCTAAAAGATATTAGTACTCTTTCTAGGGTATGGAGAAGCCAAAGACAAACTAAACAACTATAGATAAGACTAAAGCCACTGATAGCCACATTTCTGTTTTGTGGTAATCATATATTAACCAACTTTTTTTTGGAAAAAGAGTACCACACCAACATCATTGCACCTGGGTTCCTTTTGTGTATCATTGACATCCTTAGCACTCATCTTTGTAGTTTCTTCCTCAGAATGTGGAATTTTATTAGATTTGTAGAGACTGATCAATGAATCTCCACCAGTCACTTCTTTACTGGTTTCGTTGAAAGTATTATTGGTCTCAGCACTCATCATTCCACCATCACATTGAGGAGCTTTGCCATCATCATCTGCAAGGGTCCAGAGTATCGATAATCAGCAATCCAAGTTCATGATTTTGAACAACAATCGACTATTTCCTAATTATTGGACATTAATAATTCCCCCAGTGGCATGTTAAGCCATGGAAACCCACATTGTAAAACAGCACATCTGGGGAATGCACCACCATTAAACACCCTCCACATCTAAAACCAAAAGAGAATTAATATTTACCCACCAGATCAGTCAAGATGCCACGAACCATAAAGAGACACATACTAGAGCCCTACCACTCCATCCCCAATTGAAGTAGTGAGAGCACATGACCATAAGTGTGACCTTTAAAAACTCATGGAGCCAAAGTCTGCCAATTAAAGAATTATATCTAATATCAAATCTAAACATATGTAAGAAATAATAATATCCAAGGACATATATCCACGATTTCTTCAAATAATTCTCCATGTGTATCTATGACTAAGCAAACAAATTGGGGAACGGACTGCTCATGCCTACAAGAAACCAAGCCAAACCAAAAACAAACGACCAAGTAAATTTCACTCTAAAGTAGAGTTCGGGGGATGAAATGTACGCAGAGTTGACCTCTACCTGAGAGCAGACCTCTACCTCAGAGTAGAGGTGATCTCTGCCTCATAGTAGAGCAGATATTTCCGTGAAGAGCCCGACTTGTGCAAGCATGTGAGCAAATAGGTAGAAGGAACAAATACTAGTACATGGTGAACATAGAACGAGAAAAATAAGAAGTGGCGAGTAGATACCACGAGAACATACAAAAGGTATCACACACAGCAAGACATAACACACAGAGCACGTAAGGCAAAAACACATCCCTAACCTACACTGTCAACCCTCCACCCCTCAACCTCTCCAACTCCTCTCTGCCCAACCATGCTAGCTTCAAGTCCGCGATCTAGTCTGCCACCTTACTCCTTCGTCTCCAAATACTCCTTTCGGAAGTCATGTCCTCATAAATGTCAAAAGGCCACAATATCCATCCTCAATTACTCATTCACGCGCTCATTGGCCCTCCCCTTCTAACTCCTTCAACCGCCACTCTTAATACTCTCCTCATTGGTGTTGTCAACGGTCTCCTATGAACGTGCCTAGACCACCGCAATCTCCCCTGTCGCAATTTATTTATTACGAGGGCAACACCAACTCGTCAAAACCTCATTTGGAGGGTTTTTTCTAGCATGGTCCTACAACAGGTCCATCTAAGCATCCTCATTTAGCAACTTCCAACCTCCTCTCAACAGTCCCTTTAGTCTTAGTGAAACGTTCTTGTCCCACTCTGTGGCAGCTTTAGCCAACCTCCCTTTATGCAAAGTCTTACCTCTTCCTCAACCACTCTCTCTTTTTTAATCATGGAACCTAAAAACTTGCATTCGACCCTTTGGAGACCCTTTGCGCCCCAACGTTGATCTTTCCCTACTTCAATATGCTCTACCCTGAAATTACACCAAGAATATTATGTCTTAGAGCAGCTAATTCACAAATCTTGTGATTCCAAAGCCGCCCTCCCGTGCTTCAACCTCTCGTTGACCTATACTTTTGACTCCGCTACGAACACAATGTCATCAACAAATAACATACATCATCAGACACTCCTTGGATCCCACAAGGGGATCTCATCCAAAATCACAGCAAGGTCCAAGAACATTCCCTTAATAAGATGAATCCCCCAGAAGATCTCATCCAAAAAGAAAGGTCCAAAGACATTCCCCTGATTAAGCCTACAACCTCTCATCTTATGTTTGGTCCGAAATTTTTGTAGCCTATTGAACTAAATGTTGCTTTTCATCTAAATGAAAGGTCCAAGAGAAACAAAGGAAGTTGTAAGTTGAAGTTAAACAAGGTAGCCTTCAGAGGCCGAGTCCTCATGTCTTCAATCTTCTTTTTCTTCAATCTATATAAGAAATCACAAAAAATGTGCGAGGCTTTGCAATTCCAAAGCTAATCTTTCACGCCAGAGATATTAAAACGAATAGATTGAATGGCAGTGGGGTCGTCTCTGTCAGTATTTTTAAGATCTCGTAACATAAATTTGCATTTCTACTGTTGTATACACCTCAAAAGCAAGAGTGCAACCTTATAAATCATTTGCCACATGAGTCGTGTAAAATTTCTAGCATGTTGTATACACCTAAGAAGCAAAAGTACACCTCAAATCTCACAAGCAAATATGGGTACTATTCACACCCACATCATAATGGTGTTTAGTTCATGCTAGAAATGTAGAAGAAACAGAAATAGAGATTGCAAGAAGAAATGTCAAAAGCTTAAATTAAGTTCAAAGTGCAATGCCCATAACAGAAGGAACTATAATACAAAATGGAAATGCAGCAAGTAAATAACAGAAAAATACAAGCTCAACCACTTTGTCAGCTTTTCCCTAGCGTCGACAAATGACGGTTTGCACCCATCCTTTTACACTAGAGCTGAAGAGAGATAGGAGGCGAGATAAAGATGCTTTTGGGCAGAAAAAGTACAAGTGTGCAGTGTACTTGCACACGAACCCCTTTTGTCTTCATCAATTCATCAACACAAGGGACCACCTCTCCATATCAGACCAAACCATCGAGATGGCAAAAGTTGTTGTACCAACCGAGTTCACCTTAAACTTCTCAAAATGACCACTATGAATCCCACAACGAGGATTTCTTAGAACATAGTAACCAAGCACTGAATAGCGCTTTCAGGGCCAAAGTTCTCTCTCGATGATCATATTGGAAGCTTAGACTAAACAAGAGTACAATGACTCTACTAACTTAAAATAACTTTAACTAAAATAGTAAAGATGTGGTTATAAATCTACTGCACATGCAAACCACATAAAATTCTTGTGTGGCCGACAAAAGTTCCCGTAGACTCTTTGCAGTATGCTAAAAATTGTGTCACCCTTTTCTTTGGATGATCCACGGTTGAGATAACCTCTCAAGGATGCCCGCTCACAGAAAAATATTAGAACTGCAGCAACATGTTGTAAGAATGAGATGCCTTGATGCCAAAAAGAAGTAACCTCCTTCACTAATAATAACGATCATGAAGAAGCACTTAGCACTTGCAAAGAATGATCGCATACTGACATCCTCCATCACAAGTTCAACATCAACTAAAGATGTATCAAAGTTTAAACACTAGCGGATCCACAACAAAAGGGGTAGGGGGCACAGGCCCCAACAAACCCCAAGAGCAGTTTATTTATATTTTTGTTAACTTAAAATTATTAATAGGCCTAGAACAAATAAAAGTTAGACCCAATTCTGATTCTTGTCATCTCATTTTAGAACTCTTACTTGAAGGAGTCATTACTTGATCAATTAAACTCTAATTCCTCTAACTTCTAAAGTGTCAACCCCTTAAAATTCATTTTATTTCTCTTGTTTTGTTTGCTATAATACTAATGAATAAGTTATTTTTGTTCAATTAAAGTGGACCTTAAAGCCGAAAACCGAATAACCAAAATCGTATGGTTCGAAAGAGTTATTCGGTTTCAGATTTTTTTTGACATCCTTAAAAGGTGCCCCGAATAATAAAAGTTTCTAGATCCGCCACTTACACATATGGCTATCCTTAAATTTGCTTCATCCATAAATGATTTGGTGCATTTTTGTTGGTAGATTCGATTATGTTAGACAAGTAAACCAAACATCAATATCTACACCCACTTTATCGTAGACTAACTGTTTAGGCTTAAGAAAGACACAATAGAAGCATAAAGTAAGCTTCCCCCCCCCCCCCAACAAGTTCAAGGACATAATTTTAATCCTTCCATGTGCTCTAATCTAAGGCCAATTCCTTCATTGTAATCAGCACACTCAAATACATTTGCACTACTTTACCATGTCAACCTTGGTAAGTCTCCACATCTACAAACAAATTCATGTGGGTAAAAGTTTCTTTTCTGAAGGGTGCACTCAAATGCATACGTAAGAGAGGATCAAACCATCAAGACCCAAGGTTTTAAAGAAAGGAAACGAGCCTCGAGGCGTTTTCCCATTAGGTACGTGAGGCATACGCCTCGAAGCGGTCAAGGCGTAAGCCCCAAAAAACAAATATATATGCAAATGATTATTATATTATGGACGGAATACAATATACAAAAAATACATAAATACTAAATATACATACACAAAATAATATATATATATATATATATATATATAAAAGATTATTATACTTTGGATTGAATACAATATACACAAAGACAAATACTGAATATATATACACAAAATATATAAGGCTACTATACACTTATATACACATTGAAAGTGGGACGGTGGGAGATTGAATTTTATATATATACACACACACACACACATATATATATATTGCTCACAAAGAAAATATACCAAGTGATACAAAGTGGGATGATGGGAGACTTATATTATATACAATATTATATATGAGTGCACATCTCACAAAGAAGATATACCAAGTGATACAAAGTGGGACGGTGAGAGACTTAGATTATATACAATATTATATATGAGTGCACTACTCATAAAGAATATATATACAAAGTGGGACGGCGACAAGTGGTTTTACAGTCGAGAGAGAATAAAGCACCTTGCTTTTGTGTGGATTCATACAACTGGAATGGTCAATAAAGGCGACCACCTCATTACAGTCTCGCCGTTTCACCAACTCAGTCCTCGCCTCTGCCAACAAAGAAGTATGACCCAACCATACCTAGAGAGGAGCCACCTCACATTTGGTTTGAAGCCACCTCACCTTGAGACATGCGCCTTACACGTTTTTTAAAGCCATGACAAGAACAATTCTTGCATGGATTTCTCCTCAACTAGTTTCAGTCCAACTATCTCCGATATTCTTAATATTTAATCTTGCCCCTCAACTTATTGGCCACACATCCACCTGAGCTTCATAGCCTAATAACATGTTCCCCAGGTCTCTTTACCATCCTATAGAACTTAACTTTCACCATCAACCGAAGGTTTCAAATCACATGATATCCTTGAAGAATGTCAAACATCTCATCCGCTTC